TTGGAAATTTTACTTCCACAATTTGGGCTGAGCATGAAACCAGTTTTTCTTTTTTGAAAACTGCAAGATCTTGAATTCTCTATTAGTTTTTTAAAGAACAGTCACAACTCACATCACTATTTCGATTAGACTTCCAAATATGTTTTTCTCTCTTCACCAACGCATCATGTTGTGCATAAAGCTGAAGAGAACTCATTTGCCCTCGAAACTTTTTGCTTTTCGAGCTCTATCCTAACTTACCCGAGATTGACCAAATGCGCTCTGTTTAGTCATAAACTCAGCAACAGTCTCAGCCCCGACATCAGCTTGCATGCTTCCCGATTGCGAACTAATTTGGGGTGGTTCTCGGGATCCCATTATTTGAAGTTACCTAGTGAACTATAAGAGCTTAACTGTAGAGAATATAATACCGTAGATGTAGAGTCTTCCAGTGCCTACCTTACGTAACAGTTTAAAGAGAATGAGGCACACCAGCCGTTTGGATGTTGTTTTGGAACGAATACGATTTTGTTTATGGTAATTTGATCCATACTTTAGCATCAACAATTACGGTCAGTTCCAATGTTTTATGTTCGAGCAATGTTTAGGAAGATTTGAAAGTTAATGATTGAACGACGTGATAGTTGCAAAGTACTACAAGAAAACGAATAAAACTATAGGAATTTTCCCTCGACCAACGAATGTATGAAATTATCTGAGTACTTCGTGCGGTTTTTTCTTCAAGCTCTTAAAATCCCCCAAAATAAAGAGAGTTGGCGTAATTTCATATCTCATCAGAAAGATTCGATATTATTCTAAAAGCTGATTTGCTCAATAGTCAGAGCTCACAGAGTTTTAGTTGTCAAAAATTATGGAAGTGAAGTTTTTAACAAAAAGACCTTATTTGAATTGCCGTTGTGGATTGCCAGATTTTTGATTTGTTAAACTTTTATCCGGCAAGAATATGACATGCACGTTTATTCCGTAAAGCTAGCTGTGGATTACGGTAGATATGGATAGATGAAAATCACTAGTTACCCAAGAAGGGTATTAAGTTTATGCGAATTGCATATCTTTTAGCGTGACGGGCCTATTTTACAAGATAGACACAATTCTATCGTTCACCTACCGTACCCATATTAAGGTCTTATTGTCTGTAATGCAGATGATTGATTAGGATGTCAAATAACTGCACTGGACCACCTTTAGCTAACTAGTAATTTTGTCTTATCTATCGTCTACCTACGTGAGCTGAGGTGACTTCCCACTATAGGGAACGATATGATCTCCTTATCAGCATTTGAAACAACCTGTTGGCTGAAAATTTGGCGAGTTCTATAAATCTCAACTTAA